CCCCCGGGCCAGGAAGCAGAGAGCCCCCTGCCCCAAACAGTCACCAAAGGAACAATGACTTTATTGGGGAGCAGTTAGGATCCACATGGAGCGGAGCTGGACGGAGCTGGACGAGGTGGCAGAAGCAGAAAGAGGTAAACATGGGAGAGTTCTGGGCACAAACCGAGAGAGCAGGGAGCAGGGGAAGGACAAAGAAACAACAAAAAGAGGCCTGAGAAGAATGCGACTCAGATTTGCAGTAATACCCTGGCTTCCACTGTGCTTCCCCCAGCTCAGAGCTCCCTCCCTCCCTGCACTGATCCCCTTCCTTGAAGCCAGGGAGATGGCTCAGCTGCACAGCGCGTGCCTGGCAGGTGCAAGGTCCCGAGTTCAATTCCCAGTACTCAAAAAACAAACAAACAAATAAATAAATTTCCCTCTTTGCTTAAGCTTATTGGAATTAGATTTCTGTCCCTAACAACCAAACAGTTTACACCTCCACATCATTTTTTTTTTTTAAATGCAGATAGGAAAAAGACGAAGAAAATACTGCAAAATTATAGCAACTTTTTTTTCACCTCTAGTTTTTGGAATTTTCAATAACATGATTGTGTAATCTGCAAAGAATCTTCCATAAACTAGAACAGAGATGTGCAGGTCAGCAGGTGGGAGAGAAGCTGGAATTTAAGTGGGCTGCAGCGAGCACCTGACTTTCAGGAGACGCCCATTCCTTCCACTCCAGGTTAGCAGGCAACTCGGCCACCTCTGTGTACGCATACTTAGCAAAAGACGAGTGTAGGGTCACAGACACCTCCCAATCAGACTGTATGTCTCCAAGAATAAAAGAATTTATTGTTACTGAAGCCTACAGTGCACCAGTAACAAGCTAAATGCCCCAGTGTACTTTCTCAGTGTTCATATTTGAAGGCTCATGGCTCACTAAAACATTTCAGGGCTCCTTGACTACCAGGAGGGACACAAAACACCACTCTGACTGTGTGTCTGGCAGAGCACGGGAAGGGCCTTGTCTATGGCTGGTTGGTGAATCGGAGTAAAATGCTCATCACACAACTCATGTAGTCTTCCAGAAATCTCACGCATTCAGGTTAGAGGGAAGCTGGCCGTGGCAGTGAGCACTCCGACAGTAATCGCAGTGTCCGCAGTGACCGCAGCGACGCCCCAGCCTCTCACAACATGCTAGTTCTGCTCTTTGGAGGTTCTTGGACCCCTCCCATTCAGACGCTGGGAGGCCACTCTGAACGGTGTCATGCGCTCTCTCGTTAAGACACATGCCTGTTACGCACTCTTAGCTTTCCATAGCTGCCTTCAAATATAGCTGCTGTACCTAACATGAATTAAATATGCTTCTAGATGACTCTTATGATACTGAGCCCAGCGAAGAACTATTTGTTCCTGCACATCAAAAAACACTGCTCAACAATAATGGATTTACTCATCATCTCTACCCAGTCAGCTCAGTCCTCAGCACTCGCTCTTCTCTACAGCAGATGAAATCGTAGCGGGCCCTCCAGCTACACAGTTTCCAGAGAGTAGGAAAAAGGAACCTGCAATCTGCTCCACACTGACTCTGAAATGTGACTTGGGTTTAAAACCCTGGAATATACACTCCTGGCTGTGACAATGACTTCTAGATGCACAGCAACACTGCAGAGGGTGAGAATGACAGGGTGAGTTCACCGTCCCCACAGACCGCCAGCTGCCCACACCTTCCCTCCAGAGGTGGCCGGAGAGCGGCTGAGAAATGCATGACCCGAATGAGGGCTGTGAGGCCTGGCTCATGCTACAGATGACAAGGGAAAACCAGCCCGTTTCACATATGAGATCTAGTGGGGCAGAGTGCTCATGATGGCCCTGCTCAGAGGGGGCTTGACTGGACTTGTGAAACAGTCTCATAATTAGCTCGGGCCGGCCTTGAAGGCACCGTGGAGTGTGGGTGATCCGTCTTGTGTCAGCTGCCTGAATGTGGGCATCACAGGGAGTGTTACCATGTCTGGCTCAGAAGGTTTAACGAGTCTCCCCTCAGGAGAACAAATGTAGTATCAGGAGGGAGTTGAGCTGTTCGCTGCCTCGATCATAAAATGCTCCACCAGGCTTGGCAGCTTCAAATCTCATAAAAGCACGCTGTGTTTACTACAGGGACAGGAGTAGCTGCCGACTTCCAGCAGAGATGAGACAGTCATTTACAATGTGATCATTCTCCAAACTCTGAACTCCGCTGATCATTCGTTATCTTCCATTAATCAACTAATATTTCCAGTAACGATATTTTCTAAAATAACCTCTGAAATAACTCTGTATACAAAAAGTGTTCAGAGAAGAGAGTTGCAAAGAGGCAGGTAGGAGTGTGTCTACCCAGCACAAAAAGAAGTAAAATGGAATCTAAGCACAAGGGCCTGAGTTCAATCCCTGGTTCTACAAAAAAAAAAAAAAACAAAAACAAACAAACAAAAAAAAAAACAGGAAGTAAAATGGAATCTAATGTAAGTGTTAACCGGTGCTGGGGGCTGGCCAGGCAGCTGGAGACCAGCTCCCCTTCTGGTGGGCGGGCTGGCCCGAGGCTGGGTCCCCCTCCCCAGCGCTCTGTAATCTGCTCCCTCACACCTGTGCCCCCCAACAGGAGAGCAGGAGCCCTGCCAGTCCCCCGAGATTCAGAACCCAGGGTAGCTGGATGCTCCTCACCAAGGGCTGCAGAAATGCTTCTTTTCCAAAGAAATTTATAGATTTCAGACACACATTTCCGATCTGGTTTCCAGGTCAACTGATATCTAAAGACAAAGGTCAGGAACAAGCTGATGAAAGAGCGCACACCTTCCATCTCCACTAGTATCAGTACTAACCAGTGTCAGTAGGGAGACGGCACCACGCAACGACACCTCCACACAGTCACGCAGCCTTCTGCACTTGACTGCTGTCTCTGTT